GGGGGGGGGGAGACAAATAACGGTAACTGAACTGAGTGGAGGGCAGTTTAGTCTTAAATCGTAGAAATTATTTCAAAATGGAAGGAGCCCGCAGCGCGAGTTTGATTTGAAATCACAAGTATGACTTTATTACTACAGAATAGCAAGTACTTGAACTAATGAAAGGCGTTGATACCTCTAAAGCATGTGGTTATGATGGAGTTGGCAACAGGATTATTAAGATGTGCAGTGATGGTTTTCATGTCTATTTCACTCGTTTTATCAACATGTCTTTTTCACTTGGTCAGTTCCCCAGTGAGTGGAAGCTTGCAAATGTTATTCCTATATTCAAAAATGATAACCCTTAACTCAAAGTGAATTACCGTCCCGTTTCTCTGCTGGCAAGTTCTTCCAAAATCTGTGAAAAGATTTTTTTCTTTTACTTGAACAATTTTTGATGGAGATTGGTTTTCTTTATAAACTTCAGTCTGGTTTCAGACCTGGTGATTCAGCAATCAACCAACTGATTTTCTTTGTACAAAAGAGAGGTACGTGCTGTTCCTAGATGTAAGCAAAGCATTTGATAAGGTGTGGCATGCTGGTTTGTTGTGTTAGTTGGAGGCTTTAGAAGTACAACCGCCCTTACTTCAATGATTCGAAAGTTATTTGCTTAACCGAAAGCAGCGGGTAGTTATAGATGAGTAATCCTCTGATTGGCGAACAGTCAACTCCGGAGTCCTTAAAGGGTCTTTGATAGGACCGCTTCTATTCTTATTTACATCAGTGATATTACTGATGATTTCGCCTCTCTTCCTTTGATTTATGCCGATGATACCACAATGTTTGAAATTGTTGACGAGCCAGCCGTATCAGCTGGTCGTCTTAATTCTGATCTAAACAAGATCTCCGAATGGGCTGACAAATGGTTGGTAACTATGAATCCTGTTAAATCTCGCAATGTTGTATTTTCTCTCAAGCGTAATAAACAAGATCACCCGCCTCTATTTCTTGACACCAAGGTCGTCAAAGACGTTGAGTGTCACACTCATATAGTTAAGACTAAGAAAGCCTCTAAACGATCAAATATGCTGAAATATTTCAAATACAGAGTTGATAGATCCACCTTAACATACTTGTGCAAACGCCTGATTAGACCACTCATGGAATATGGGGATGTTATCTGGTCATAATCGTGATTCATCTTTACAGGATAATGTTCAATACGAAGCCGCAAGGGTGGTAGCAGGAGCCATTAGGGGAACCAACTCTGCGAGGTTACGTGATTAACTTGCTTGGGAGCCTCTTAGTATCAGGAGAGAATTACTTAAATTGAGCCAATTTTACAAAATAGTCAAGAATTTTGCTCCACGTTATTTAAATGAACTATTGCCCAAACTATCTAGTGAACGTACACATTTTCGTCTCAGATCAAGAGAACACTTCACTTTACTTCTACGCTTCAAAAGTCTTTTTTTCCATCAGCAATCAATGGCTGGAATTCTCTGGACCTAGATGTCCGAAACTCTTTATCTCTTCCCACTTTAAAGCAAAACTCGGTCAATTCTCTTTCCGCATACTTACAATAGGTTATATGATCGTTCTTTGTCAAGGCGTGTACCTGTTGATCAAACCCGCCTCGTTAAACACTTTTTCTTGCATTGCCCAAGGTATGCCGCTCAACGTCATGTTCTCCTTACCTCTGCTGCTAATATTCTCGGTGAAACATGTTCATCGAGTAGTGATGCTAGGAAACTGAATTTTCTATTGTATGGTGTTTGGTCTGTAAATTGCAACGTCAACCGTGCTTTTTTTTCGCAAAGCACAAAAGTTTTGTAATAAACACTAATCGCTTCTCTGAGGCCATTGTTTAATTGTTTAAACAATATATCCCTAGCTTATTAAGTCTAATTCGTTGCTATTGCAACTTGTGTGTGTCAGTTATATTCTGTTTGTGTGTAAGCCCGGATAAATTGATTTTATATTTGAAATATTGTAATCCCCTCGTTAAGGCTAGGTGTTTTGGGGGAAAACAATGATAAATATGTTTCACTAAAAAAAAATAAAATAAAATAAAAAAATAAAAAACTCCTAAGATCTCATTAATAATTCTCTTAACTGTCTGACATACGTTTCTTATGATTTCTATCAGGAGAATTTGGTATTGGATCAACTAATAATCCCCTAATTGATAATATGCTTTCTTGTCATCACTTCTATAGTCGATATTGTTTTGATATTGTAGGAGAAATTCTCTCCTGGTCACACATAGGAGGTAAAGGTTAAACAAGGCTGGCCTTCATTGGAAGTACATACTTTCGGTCAAATTATCGTTTCTATGCAACAATCCGAAAAACTAATAACACCTTCATGTGTTATTAGTTTTTGGAATTGTTCTTTTTACTTTTATTCTATAAAATATAGTAAGCTCACTTCTATGTGTCAATAGAGCCCATTTTTATTGTTTGCGATCGCCTTTCGTGATATTGGCCTCGACTCCTTCAGCTGAGGGATGTGCTTTTGAAAATCATTAGGATAAAGACATGATATTTACATAACTAAGCATCAGAAACGAAAAAAAACCATTTCATTGAGGCATGGTTCGATCGCTACGTGACATCTCTCAAGACACTTTATTTAATATTTAACCAAAGAAGTTTCTATTCCAGAAATTGACTCAAAATTGAGGTAAGGATATTATTTTTCTCTATCGACATTAACGTTTTGACTCTAAATTACAACGTCAACCGTCCTTTTTTTTCGCGAAGTACAAAGTTTTGTAATTAACACTAATCGCTTCTCTGAGGCCATTGTTAGATTGTTTAAACAATATATTCCTAGCTTAGTAAGTCTAATTCGTTGCTATTGCAACTTGTGTGTGTCGGTTATGTGTCTGTTTGTGTGTAAGCCCGAATAAATTGATTTTATCTTTGAAATATTGTAATCCCCCTCGTTAAGCCTAGGTGTTTTGGGGAAAACAATGATAAATATGTTTCACTAAAAAAAAAAAAAACTCTTAAGATTTCATTAGAAATTCTCTTTACTGTCTGACATACAATTCTTATGATGTCAATTAGGAAAATTTGGTATTGGATCAACTAATAATCCCCTAATTGATAATATGCTTTCTTGTCATCACTTCTAAAGTCGATATTATTTTGATATGGTAGGGGAAATTCTCTCTTGATCACCCATAGGAGGTAAAGGTTAAACAAGGTTGGCCTTCATTGGAAATACATACTTTCGGTTAAATTATGGTTTCTATGCAAACATTCCCAAAAACTAATAACATCTTCATGTTACGTATATGTTCTTTTTACTTTAATTCTATATAATATATAGTAAGCTCACTTCTAGGTGTCAATAGAGCCCAATTTTTATTGCGATTGCTTTTGTACGCCTTCGTGATATTCATTTCGCAATTGGCCTCGACTCCTTTAGCTGAGGGATGTGCTTTTGAAAATCATTAACACAAAGAAATGATATTTACATAACTAAGCATCAGGACGAAAAGAAAACCATTTCATTGGGGCATGGTTCGATCGCTACGTGACATCTCTCAAGACACTTTATTTAACATTTAACCGAAGAAGTTTCTATTCCAGAAATTGACTCAAAATTGAGGTAAGGATACTATTTTTCTCTATCGACATTCTTTTTTGTTTCGCCTATTTTATTCATACTACAGACACCAGATACTATTTTCAAAAATAACTCATTTGTCATTTTCTATATCATACACGTAGACTGGAGACTTCAACTCTCCAAGGAAGGTTAGGGAAGTGGGAAGCAATTAGGATTGCAAGTCGTAAGATTTAGCTCTCAAAAAAGTGCGTATATTCGGATGTTTAAGAAAAACTATCTACACTGTATGGTGAATATAAAAAGCAATGGAGATCACGATACAGCTCAGTAAGTTATTTGACCGGGATATTGTTTCTGTTTCTTTGGAAGTTTGGATTAGAAATTGCTCGGTGAGAAAGCTCTCATCGGTACTGTTTTATAAGCATCTCGTGGGCTTTTTGCAAGGCCTGCGGTGGGTATTTTCTGTACATGTCACTCTAAAGATTTCCGCGAAGCGGGCTGGCTCGATTCCTTGAGCCATACTGGGGGATATCGGCCCTCGTACGCTCTTTTGTTTATTGGCCCTCGCTGCGCGTGGTCCGTTCTGTCCCGACCTCGAGCCGATATTTCTCATTACGGCCCTTAAACTCGGTTAATCAGAAGTTAGTATCGCAGTTGTAAGGGGTTTGATAACTTCTTCATATCATCTTTTAAGGTTATAGGATAGCAGCATACAGAATGTTCGTGAAAAAGGCTGTTCTTCCTTTGCTCATGATCGGATTCCTTTCAAGCCTCTTTTTTGTCACTCGCT